GAGCCGGTACTGGGGGCTTAACGTAAAAATTTATATTTTTTTTAAAAAAGAAAATACATAACTGCTGGCGCGAATTCTACATTTTAACTTTGTGGCCCAAGTAAAAATGAGGCTCAGAATCGCTAGTCAATCTTATTTCCGATAAGAGCAATTGACAATTGAATCCGTAGATTAATTCGTAGATTGTATCTAATGCATGTATCTTGAAAAATTCATATTCATGCACCAATGAAAGACATGACTCGAAATTGAAATGGACTGAGTTATTGAGCGAACCCCATAAGTTTAAAATTCTATGCACTATTGTGTTGGACTTGGACCCGGCGAGTTGGGTTCGCTGGTGACATTTATGTGTTTGATTATGTTGACATTCACTATCCGTTAAGGTACACGAGTGAGTTGACAATTTAAATTCTCAATTTTTTCAACATGTTTAAAGAGCAATTTTTTTTTACACTGTTGTTCTTCTCTTATGACAGATAATTAAACATTTGATAGTCCGTATGTACACTGGGGAATTTATATATAAAAAACAAAAAAAGAACAAGTGGACAGAAAAAAAAAGAGTGGAAAAAAATCAAAAACTCGTATTCAGTGAATACGTTTTCTTCACAAATTTAATTGAAAAACGTATTTTCAAAATACGTAACGTATTTTGAAAATTCATTTTTTTTTTTTTCAAAGTACATACGTAACGTATGTACACTGGGGAGTTTTTGATTTTTTTCCACATTTTTTTTTTTAATTTTTTTTTTGTCCAGTTACCTTAAATTTATTTATTTTTGGTAAAAAAACCTAGCCCTATTTGTGGAAATCAAATGCTAATGAACTTTATAACTAAAACTGAAACTTTGAAATTTTATAAATATTGACATATTTAATCTGTAATTTCATTTTTAATTAGTTCCAAGTTCCAACACACGACATCTAGGATCTAGCTGGATACGAAAAACGGGCTGCAATTTAGGCCCATATATGAGAAACATCTGAGAAACCAGATCAGCCCACATAATAATAGCGCGAGCCTCCAGGCCCATAGTAATGCTGGTCCACCGGTAAACTGGAGACCCGAGCGCAGAGGATCGCGTCCTCGAGTTTCAATCAGGCCCTACACATCACAGCACGTGAAAACACCAATGGCGATTTTAATGAGTACAAAGACGAACAGACAACAAGCTCCATCACTCACTGTCCTCTGGATATTTTTCAATCTTCTTTCCCATTCATCTTCGCGATCAGTACACGCAAGCGATCACCAGCTGGTTTTAGAGAGAGAAAGAGTGTAATTACAGTGACCGAGCAGAAATGGCGGCTTCCGGCGGAGGAGCGGCGACGGCGCACTCGCGGTGTTCTTCCAACCCCACGGCAAGGCTAATTGGTTTCAGCTCGGGTAACCGGAGCTCGAGGTCGTTGTTCTTGTGGGCGAGGGCGAAACCGTCGTTCCGCGTGAGCTGCGTCTCCAGCGAGCCGAAGCAGAAGGCGAGGGAGCCGGTCATCGAAGAAGGTGCGTGTCATTGTGTGTGTGAAATGGGTTTTGGTTCTTTTCGGTGAAGTTATGATTTTTTCGCCTCTTAGCTTGTGAAAGCCTCAGTTTCTTTAGGTGAATGTAAGGAGAGTGGTGTTCTGAAAACGCTGAATTTGGTGTTGATGGAACATGGCCGAAATTTTGAGCTTTGCAGGAATAAGATACAGAGATTCAATCTTTTCATTTTTTTCCAGCAATTTCTGTTTAATGTAATATACCACTGCATATGGAAGTCCAAGAAATCATATATGTATGGATGAAGTATGGCAGGAGTAATAATTTTGGGATGGTAAATTACTACCGAATCGCTGATCGGTAGTATGTTTTAAAGCCGATTAATGCAGCTAAAATTCAATTAGGTTCTACTTGTTGCAGATCAGTTAGCTGGATGAAGGCAGAGTTGAGTTATCAGCCACTCTTAGTTAATGATCAAATCTATTAATTTAACTGAAAGTAAATTTGTGGACTTGTCTAGTAGCTATTGCCAATTATATCATTCTTTCCCAACCTTCATTTCTGATCCGACCAACTCATTTTATTTTTTGGGTTTTGGATGATCTCAGGAGTTCTTCATGATTTGAGTTCTTTCCCCTCCGATGCTGCATCAATTGCTTCAAGCATCAAGTATCATGCAGAGTTCACACCTTTGTTTTCTCCTCAAAACTTTGAACCAACCAAGGCTTTCTTTGCCACTGCACAAAGCGTGCGTGATGCACTTATTATTAACTGGAATGCAACATATGATTTTTATGAGAAGATGAATGTAAAGCATGCCTACTATTTGTCAATGGAATTTCTACAGGTTCGTCTAAATTTTATCTTCTTTGACGAGTTTCAGAAGTGCAGTACTACTTTGTTAGTGTATACCAGACATTGCCAGTATAGTGGTTACATTCTTTACTGCAAAATTTATCTTTTCTATGTAGGGTAGAGCCTTGTTGAATGCAATTGGTAACTTAGAGCTCACTGGTGAATATGCTGATGCTCTGGAAAAGCTTGGCCACACTCTGGAAACAGTAGCTTCTCAGGTCATGTTACTTTACAATTATTTAGGTTTGTAGCTAAATTGAAATTAACTGCATAATAATCGCTAATATTTACATACTATGTTTGACAGTTATGGTCGTGTTGTATGATTTGCTTGCATTATATATTTTGACAGTTGCATTTTTCATCTTTTTCAGGAGCCAGATGCTGCTCTTGGAAATGGAGGTTTGGGCCGGCTTGCATCCTGTTTTCTTGATTCTTTGGCAACCTTAAATTATCCGGCCTGGGGTTATGGGCTTAGATACAAACATGGCTTATTTAAGCAGTATCTTACAAAGGATGGCCAAGTGGAAGTTGCCGAGAATTGGCTGGAGGTATTCTTCTCATGTTCACATATTTTACGTTGTTTTCATGATGGAAATCTTCTAACCATTTGATTTGTTGATCAAAAGTTGGTTTGCTTAGTTAATTTGTGCTATTTTTTCTTATTTCCTTTTTGCAACAACAGACACTTCACTTCTGTAGTCATTGTTTTACATATTTAGTTATTTATTTCATTTTTCAGTTGATAACATCCTCTAAAACACTTATATTGAACTTTCAGATAGGCAACCCCTGGGAAATTGTCAGAAATGATGTCACTTATCCTGTGAAATTTTATGGTAAAGTTGTTACGAGTCCGGATGGAAAAAGTAGATGGATTGGTGGTGAGGACATAGTGGCTGTTGCATATGATGTGCCAATACCAGGATATAAGACCAAAACGACCATCAATCTAAGATTGTGGTCCACTAAAGTACCATCTTCTCAGTTCGACTTATCTGCCTTCAATGCTGGAGACCACACTAAAGCATGTGAGGCCCAGGCTAATGCAGAGAAAGTAAGTTTACTCTATTTGTATATATGATCCTTCCTTATCACCCTTCTTTTCTACTATTTTTTCTGGATTAAGTCATTGAATTCTACTTGGAATGATCCTAGTGTGATGTGAAGATTACCAGTGGATATAGTTGATTCTCTCTCTTTAACACACACACACACACACACACACACACTATTTTTACTTACCAGGATGGGATAGGATATGGTCGGATAAATAACTCCTGTTATCCAATGTTTACAAAACTTGATGGGATAGGATAATATGCTGATGTGTCACGTGGGTCCCACACTGTTGGGATCGATTGGCCGATTGTTTTGTCCGGTCGAAATGACCATTTTTGTCCAAATTTTCCCATGCGAAATGTCATTTTGTCCAAATTTCCCCTCTGAAACCAGATATGTTACACACTTTACCCGGGAGACGAATCGGAGGAGGGAAAGATTCTTCGACTGAAACAACAATACACACTGTGCTCAGCATCTCTCCAAGACATCATCACACGGTATGAGAGAAGATCATCTGGTGGCAATGTGAGATGGGAAGAGTTTCCTGATAAAGTTGCTGTTCAGATGAATGACACTCACCCAACACTATGCATCCCAGAGCTAATGAGAATTTTGATGGACGTGAAAGGCTTGACATGGGAGAAAGCCTGGAGGATTACACAGAGGTAATTATTTACTTGTGTTTGAACTGACCATCTTGTGGTATTAAACTGCTAATTCTTCTGGTATAAACGGCTACTTTCTGGATTAACCATCTCCATGTGGTTTGAGTCAAACAAATGGCAGCGACATAATTGTTTTTATTTTATTTGACCTTTGCAATTTGTCAGTGCTCGAGTTTGTGAATCTCAGGTTGTCTATGCCTAAGTCAATTCATGTCAAAAAATGTGCTTTGCAGAACAGTGGCATATACAAACCATACTGTTTTACCGGAAGCCCTGGAGAAATGGAGTTATGATCTAATGCAAAAACTACTTCCAAGACATGTCGAGATCATAGAGCTGATTGACAAACAGGTGGGAAAGTGTATTTGATGACAGAAATTAGATGCCTCCATTCCTCTTAATATTGTTAACAACCTCCTTTTCTTTTTTTTTTTTTTTTTTTTTTTTTTTGGTTAAATATGAAATTGGGTTGGGCTNTTTTTGCATTTTCAGTTAATTGAAGACATAATATCAGAATATGGTACAACAGACCCTGATATGTTGGAGAAAA